GGGACCACATGTTCCAACACCACAGGTTCTACTGGGACCACATGTTCCAACACCACAGGTTCAGCCAGTAGATAATAGATGAAGTTCTGAAACAGCCCAAACCTTTACTTTCAAACCCAAACGGACCCGACAGCCGCAGGATCGTCTCTCAATTAGCTTAAACAATTAATGAGCGCGTGAGGAGTGATGGAGCAGCAGCTGAAGAGAAACGAGCTTTCAGGGGAACCAGAACCGTCTGTTAATGTTCTAGAAGGTAGAGTCTCTGTAGAGTAGGAGAACCACACCGATACGACGTTAGGTCAAGAATTTAAAGTTTAACTCCTAGAAATGCAAAATGCACCTCAGAACCACTTCAGTACCACAAATTAAACACAAGACAACAACACCAGAACCTTCTCAGTAATGTTCCTGCCAGATGTTACAGTGAAGACCAAGCAGTGAGCCAGATGTTTGTGCAGCTGGAGGTCCAAACATCAGACAGTTCATCTGAGACAGAACAAACTGTGTTCTGGTGGTTCTGGACCACGCTTCCTTTCATTTGCTCCACATTTTGCAGCTTTACTGATCACATTGAAACAGTTTGTGATGAGCTGGTTCTGGTTCTGGTTCAGAACTTTTCATACGCTGAACTGTCAGGAATCAAACGTCACCTTTGTATGATATGAATGAAAACCTGTTTGTCTGCTTTACTTGATCCGTTTATAATCTTTTGTCTGTTTCCCTGTTTAATAAAAACTCTGACTTCAGCCCGACTTTGGGTTTTTCCTGCTTTGATTGGTCCTGATTGTGTTGTTGAGCTCAGAGAACGGGTCGATGGCGCCGCTAAACCCAGTCCTAGACTGAACCTCCCCTCCAGGTCTATTGAGCTGCTCGTTCTGGAGCTTTCAACCAAATCCCACCAGGTGGAGTTCAGTCAGTGATGATGTTCATTCTGCTCCGTGTTGACAGTTAAACCAGAACCGGTTCAGATGGACCTCTGGGTTCACACGTGTTTCTTTTAGTCTGAAGCTTTGTTCAATATTGAGAAGTCTGTCTTTTACACCCAGCAGCGTGTCGCCTCTTTAAAAACCACTTTCTGCAGCTTGAGAAAGAGGATTTTGCTCATCGGTCATGTTGTGGAACATCATGAAGTGATTTGTTGATAGTCGGGAGCCACGATGGGAGGTTAGATCAGATCCACTCTCATTTCCAGCTCTACATGAGGCGCTTTACAACTCTTTATCTCCAGTCTATTCATCATAAATATCTGCTCTACAGGCCGTCTGCCTCCGTCAGATGGAGCAGCGCGATGCCGAGCTTCTCCCCACTTTAATTATCTCCATTATCTGCCGTGACCAATCGGGAGAAACGACACTTTGGAGGAGAGAAGAAGCAGAAACATCCAGACGGAGCTTCTAGTCGCTGAATACAAAAACACTTTTTGATGAAATTAGACAGCTGTTGTGATGAGCAGCACCAGACAGATCCGATAATCTCAGCTGGTGTGAGGTGATGATGATGTGAGCCGAGAGGCTGGAGGAGCTCAACCAGGAACAACCAAAGAACCAGGCTGGAGGTTGTTATCACAGGTTTGACAACTGAGTTCATGATGGTGACGCTGTTCCTGAATCTCTACACATCCATCCATCATCTCTATACCTTCATCCTCACCAGGGTCATGGGGGGCGGAGCCTATCCCAGCTGACTCAGGGTGAAGGCAGGTTCACCTGGACAGGTAACCAGTCTATCACAGGGCTACACTTAGAGACAGACAACCAAGCACACTCACATTCACACCTACGGACAATTTACAATCACCAATTAACCTCAGCATGTTTCTGGACTGTGGGAGGAAGCCGGAGAACCCGGAGAGAACCCACGCTGCACGGGGAGAACATGGAGACTCCACGCAGGAAGATCCCGGGTGTCCTCACCGGGACGCCAACCAGCGACCTTCTAGCTGTGAGGCCACGATGCTAAACCACTGATCCACCTGCAGCCCTCTACGAACCCATAGAAAAAATGTGTTGCTCATCTGCTGTTCAATCTCGTGTCTTGAGATCAGTTTGAGGTTCTCATATTCGATCATTCTGTGGTCATTTGTTTCTGAATTACTTCTCCTAAAGGTCCCTTAGGAGCAAGAGGTAAGACAAGACGAGAGAAGACACCACGAAGACAAAGGAGGTTGACTATTTGAGCAACACTTGAGAAGTGGCATAAACAGAGGAGATCTCATCGCTGTCTGCCCTGATCTCAGTTATATCTTGATTATTTAAAAGGAGAAGAATGAGATGAATGTGAATCTGAGAAGTATGAGCCCTAAAAGAGATCTTATTATTGTGTCCTATGTCTCTTCTGTGTCTTGATTGTTTCTCCTAAATGTCTTACCGAAGCCACTGATGAGAATAATATCTGAGCCATATTTAAGAACTTCAAGAACAAATTGAGAATGTAATTTAAAGATTAATTATCTGTAGTAATTAGAATTAACTGTAAAAACAACACTCACAATGTAAATGTTTAACACTTTGAGTAACACTAATGGTGTATCAGAACACAACTAGCATGTGGGTAACAAGCATGTACGCGTTTTTAAACATTAAAACACAATACAAAAATAGAAACTAAATAAATAAGATACAAAAACAATAAATTAAAGACAAAAATTAAAATTCAGTCCATCTACTCAGCCGTTGCTGTTAAGTCAGGTACGCTGAGCAAAGACACGTCCCAGTGACGTCCAGTCTTGGTCACATGCAGGTCCAGACTAACGCCAGGAGACGTCTTTTCCCGTCGTCTACCCAACGTCTAGCACAGACGTCCACAGACCTCTATGTAAAGGCTGAATGTAGTCCAAATGTGGTCGTGATGGACGTCTCATGGTTCTGTGCGTGGTCTGAGATTAAATGTGACGTGGAAAAGACGTCCATAATGACCACATAGAGGTCTGTGGACGTCAGTGCTAGACGTTGGGTAGACGACGGGAAGAGACGTCTCCTGGCGTTAGTCTGGACCTGCATGTGACCAACACTGGACGTCCAACAACGACTAAGACAAGACGTCACTGGGTCTTTGCTCAGTGGGATACTGTTCCAGTTTATTCTTTCTATGGCTTCATTTGATTGTCTCAGCAGCAGATAACTGGAAATGCAAAGGTTTAATGCATTTCCAGTCCAAACCTGCTGCTGCTGAGCCAAATGAAGCTACAGGACAATGAAGTGATACAGGAAACAGGTCCTCCACCTCTTCAAACATGGCACCACAGTCATACACAGGTTTAATAGATCACAATTCAGTCCTCACTCATTCATTTACGTCTCTGTTGTTGTTAATCACACGTCATCCTGCTGCAGGGCTTCTGTCAGCGGACCAACGCTCCAGTTTACCTCTAAACTGGGAGACATGCAGAAGAGGAGGAACAAAGACGGGACCTCTTTACTGGAAACAAGTCAGAAATGTGAACTTGATGCAGCACATCAGTGACTGAGCTGAGGTCTGACTCACACATAACATCAAATGTTTTCTTACATTAATGATTTTTCTTCTTACTTTAATTATTTTTGGATGATTCATATAAAGTCATGTCACTGACTTTTGTTATCCATCTAACTCATTGTGATTATTATCATATGTCTGAACAATAATACTACATAAAACATGAAATGAAGGGATCACAACCAGACCAGCTCTTACTGAACCTGACAGAACACAACCTTCTGTGGACCGGGCTTTGAGTTTGGTTCTCTGGGCTCAGAGGGGGTTAGCAGAACCTCCC